ACGAGAGAGAGACAGACGAGAGAGAGACAGACGAGAGACAGACGAGAGACAGACGAGACAGACGAGAGAGACGAGACAGACAGACAGACGAGACAGACGAGAGAGAGAGAGACAGACGAGAGACAGACAGACGAGAGAGAGACAGACAGACGAGAGAGAGACAGACAGACAGACGAGAGACAGACAGACAGACGAGAGACAGACAGACAGACGAGAGAGAGACAGACAGACGAGAGAGAGACAGACAGACGAGAGACAGACAGACGAGAGACAGACAGACAGACGAGAGACAGACAGACAGACGAGAGACAGACAGACGAGAGAGAGACAGACGAGAGAGAGACAGACGAGAGAGAGACAGACGAGAGAGAGACAGACGAGAGAGAGACGAGACAGACGAGAGAGACAGACAGACGAGACAGACAGACAGACGAGACAGACGAGAGAGAGACAGACGAGAGAGAGACAGACAGACGAGAGAGAGACAGACAGACGAGAGAGTGACAGACAGACGAGAGAGAGACAGACAGACGAGAGAGAGACAGACAGACAGACGAGAGACAGACAGACGAGAGAGAGACAGACGAGAGAGAGACAGACAGACGAGAGACAGACAGACAGACGAGAGACAGACAGACGAGAGACAGACAGACGAGAGAGAGACAGACAGACGAGAGAGAGACAGACAGACGAGAGAGAGACAGACAGACGAGAGAGAGACAGACGAGAGACAGACGAGAGAGAGACAGACGAGAGAGAGAGAGAGACGAGAGAGAGAGAGAGAGACGAGAGAGAGAGACGAGAGAGACAGACAGACGAGAGAGACAGACAGACGAGAGAGACAGACAGACGAGAGAGACAGACAGACGAGAGAGACAGACAGACGAGAGAGACAGACAGACGAGAGACAGACAGACGAGAGACAGACAGACGAGAGACAGACAGACGAGACAGACAGACGAGAGACAGACAGACGAGAGACAGACAGACAGACGAGAGACAGACAGACGAGAGACAGACAGACGAGAGACAGACAGACGAGAGACAGACAGACGAGAGACAGACAGACGAGAGACAGACAGACGAGAGACAGACAGACGAGAGACAGCAGACGAGAGACAGACAGACGAGAGACAGACAGACGAGAGGAGAGAGAGAGAGACGAGAGAGAGAGAGAGAGACGAGAGAGAGAGAGAGAGACGAGAGAGAGAGAGAGAGACGAGAGAGAGAGAGAGAGAGACGGAGAGAGACGAAGAGAGACGAGAGAGAGACGAGAGAGAGACGAGAGAGAGACGAGAGAGAGACGAGAGAGAGACGAGAGAGAGACGAGAGAGAGACGAGAGAGAGACGAGAGAGAGACGAGAGAGAGACGAGAGAGAGACGAGAGAGAGACAGACGAGAGAGAGACAGACGAGAGAGAGACAGACGAGAGAGAGACGAGAGAGAGACAGACGAGAGAGACGAGAGAGAGACAGACGAGGAGAGACAGACGAGAGACAGACGAGAGACAGACGAGAGAGAGACAGGACGGAGAGAGAGACAGACGAGAGACAGACGAGAGACAGACGAGAGACAGACGAGAGACAGACGAGAGACAGACGAGAGACAGACGAGAGACAGACGAGAGACAGACAGACGAGAGACAGACAGACGAGAGCACAGACAGAGACAGACAGTACGAGAGACAGACAGACGAGAGACAGACAGACGAGAGACAGACAGACGAGAGACAGACAGACGAGAGACAGACAGACGAGAGACAGACAGACGAGAGACAGACAGACGAGGAGACAGACAGACGAGAGAAGACAGACGAGAGAGAAGAGACAGACGAGAGGAGACAACGAGAGAGAGACAGACAGACGAGAGAGAGACAGACGAGAGAGAGACAGACGAGACGAGAGAGAGACAGACGAGAGAGAGAGAGACAGACGAGAGACAGACAGACGAGAGACAGACGAGAGACAGACAGACGAGAGACAGACAGACGAGAGACAGACAGACGAGAGACAGACAGACGAGAGACAGACAGAGAGACAGACAGACGACGAGAGACAGGACGAGAGGACAGACGACGAGAGACGAGACAGACGACGAGAGAGAGACAGACGAGAGAGAGAGAGACAGACGAGAGAGAGAGAGAGAGACAGAGAGAGAGAGAGAGACGAGAGAAGAGAGAGAGAGAGAAGGAAGACGAGAGAGAGACGAGAGAGAGACGAGAGAGGACGAGAGAGACGAGAGAGAACGAGAGAGAGACGAGAGCGAGACGAGAGAAGACGAGAGAGAGACGAGAGAGAGAACAGACGAGAGAGAGACAGAGACGAGAGAGAGACAGACGAGAGAGAGACGAGAGAGAGACAGACGAGAAGAGACAGACGAGAGGACGAGAGAGAGACAGACAGAGACAGAGAGAGAGACGAAGACGAGAGCAGACGAGACGACGAGAGAGAGAGAGACAGACGAGAGCAGACAGACGAGGAGAGAAGACAGACGAGAGAGAGACAGACGAGAGAGAGAGAGACAGACAGACAGACGAGAGCAGACAGACAGACGAGAGAGACGACGAGACAGACGAGAGAGAGAGAGACACGAGAGAGAGACAGACAGACGAGAGAGAGACAGACAGACGAGAGAGACAGACAGACGTAGAGACGAGAGACAGAGAGCGAGAGACAGACAGAGAGAGACAGACGAGAGAGAGACAGACGAGAGAGGACAGACGAGACGAGACGAGAGAGACAGACAGACGAGAGACAGACAGACAGACAGACGAGAGAGAGACAGACGAGAGAGAGCAGACAACGAGAGAAGAGACAGACAGACGAGAGAACAGACAGACGAGAGAGAACAGACAGACGAGAGAAGACAGAGAGACGAGAGACAGACAGACGAGAGAGGACAGACAGAGAGACAGACGAGAGAGAGACAGACGAGAGAAGACAGACGAGAGAGAGACGACAGACGAGAGAGAGACAGACAGACGAGAGAGACAGGACAGACGAGAGAGAGACAGACAGACGAGAGAGAGACAACAGAGACAGACGAGAGAGAGACAGACGAGAGGAGAGACGAGAGAGAGAGACAGACGAGAGAGAGACAGACAGAGAGAGACAGACAGACGAGAGAGAAGGACAGACGAGAGGAGACAGACGGACAGAGAGAGACAGACAGACGAGAGAGAGACAGGACGAAGACAGAGAGAGAGACAGACGAGAGACAGAAGACGAGAGAGAGACAGACAGACGAGAGAGAGACAGACAGACGAGAGAGACGAGAGAGAGACGAGACAGAGAGAGAGAGAGACGAGACGAGAGAGAGACAGACAGAGAGAGAGAGAGACAGACGAGAGGAGAGAGAGAGCGAGAGAGAGAGGAAGACGAGAGACAGACAGGAAGACAGAGAGAGACAGAGACAGACGAGAGAGAGACAGACAGAGAGAGAGAGACAGACAGACGAGAGAGAGAGAGAGAGACAGACGAGAGAAGAGAGAACAGACGAGAGAGAGAGAGACAGGAGAGACGAGAGAGAGAGAGAGACAGACGAGAGAGAGACAGACGAGAGACAGACAGACGAGAGAGAGACGAGAGAGAAGACGAAAGAGAGAGAGACAGAGAGAGACAGACGAGAGAGAGGACGACGAGAGACAGACGAGAGACAGACGAGGACAGAGAGACAGACGAAGACGAAGACGAGAGAGAGACAGCGAGAGAAGACAGACGAGAGACAGACAGGAGAGAGACAGACGAGAGACGAGACAGACGAGAGACAGACAGACGAGAGACAGACAGACGAGAGAGACAGACAGACGAGAGCAGACAGACGAGAGACAGACAGACGAGAGACAGACAGACGAGAGACAGACAGACGAGAGACGACGACGAGAGACAGACAGACAGAGACAGACAGAGAGAAGACGAGAGACAGACGAGAGACAGACAGACGAGAGAGAGAGACAGACGAGAGACGAGAGAGACAGACGAGGACAGCAGACAGGACAGACTGAGAGAGACAGACAGACGAGGACAGACAGACGAGAGACAGACAGACGAGAGACAGACAGACGAGAGACAGACAGACGAGAGACAGACAGACGAGAGACAGACAGGAAGAGACAGACAGACGAGAGACAGACAGACGAGAGACAGAAAAGAGACGAGAGACAGAGAGACAGCGAGAGACAGGACGAAGACAGACGAGAGACGAGAGAGACAGACGAGAGACAGACGAGAGAGAAGACAGACGAGAGACAGACAGACGAGAGAAGACAGAGAGAGACAGACGGAGAAGACAGGAGAGACAGACGACGAGAGAGACAGACGAGAGACAGGACAGACGAGAGACAGACAGACGAGAGACAGACAGACGAGAGAGACAGACAGAGAGAAGAGACAGACAGAGAGAGACAGACAGACGAGGAGAGACAGTCGAGAGAGAGACAGACAGAGGAGAGACAGACAGAGAGGACAGACGAGAGAGACAGACGAGAGAAGAGAGAGACAGACGAGGAGAGAGACAGACGGAGACGAGGAGACAGACAGAGAGAGAGACAGGAGCAGAGAGAGAGACAGACAGACGAAGAGACAGACAGAGAGAGAAGACAGACGAGAGAGAGGACAGACGAGAGAAGACAGGAGAGAGAGAGACAGAGACGAGAGACGAGGACAGACGAGAGAGAGAGACGAGAACAGACGAGGAGAGAGACAGACGAGAGGAGCAGACAGACGAGAGAGAGAGAGACGAGAGAGGAGAGACAGAGAGACAGAGAGAGAGAGAGACGAGAGAGAGAGACAGAGAAGAGAGAGAGACAGACGAGAGAGAGAGACAGACGAGAGAGAGAGACAGACGAGAGAGACAGACGAGAGAGAGAGAGACAGACGAGAGAAGAGAGACGACGAGAGAGAGACGAGAGAGAGAGAGAGAAGACAGAGAGAGAGACAGACGAGAGAGAGAGAGACGAGAGAGAGACAGACGAGACGAGAGAGAGACAGACGAGAGAGAGACAGACGAGAGAGACAGACGAGAGACGAGAGAAGAGACAGACGAGAGAGAGACAGACGAGAGAGAGACGACGAGAGAGAGAGCAGAGAGACAGACGAGAGACAGACGAGAAGACAGAGAGAGAGAGACGAGACGAGAGAGACAGACGAGAGAGACAGACGAGAGAGAGACAGACAGACGAGAGAGACGAGAGCAGACGAGAGAGAGCGACGAGAGAGAGACGAGACGAGAGAGAGACAGACACGAGAGAGCAGGACGATGAGAGACAGACGAGAGAGAGACAGACGAGAGAGAGACAGGACGAGAGAGAGACAGACGAGACGACGAGAGAGAAGACGAGAGAGAGAGACAGACGAGAGAGAGACAGACGAGAGAGAGACAGACGAGAGAGACGAGAGAGAGAGAGACAGACGAGAGAGAGACAGACGAGACGAGAGACAGACGACGAGAGAGAGACGAGGACGAGAGAGAAGACAGACGAGAGAGAGACAGACGAGAAGAGAGACAGAGAGAGGAGACGAGACGAGAGAGACAGACGAGAGAGAGACTAGACGAGACGAGGAGAGACAGAGCGAGACGAGAGACGAAGACGAGAGAGAGAGAACAGGACGAGAGAGAGACAGGACGAGACGGAGAGAGACAGACGAGAGAGAGACGAGACGAGAGAGAGAGACGACGAGGAGACGAAGAGAGAGGACAGACGAGGAGAGAGACAGACGAGAGAGAGAGACAGGACGAGAGAGAGACAGACGAAGAGAGAGGACAGACGAGAGAGAGACAGACGAGAGAGAGAGACGAGACGAGACAGACGAAGAGAGAGCGAGAGAGAGACGAGACGAGAGAGAGAGAGAGACGAGAGAGAGACGAGACGACGAGAACAGACGAGAGAGAGACAGACGAGAGAGAGACAGACGAGAGAGAGAGACAGACGAGAGATGAGACAGACGAGAGAGGACAGACGAGAGAGAGACAGACGAGAGAAAGAGACAGACGAGAGAGAGACAGACGAGAGAGAGAGACGAGAGAGAGAGAGAGACGAGAGAGACAGACGAGAGAGACAGACGAGAAGAAGACAGAGGAGAGAGACAGACGGAGAGACAGACGACGTGAGACGAAGAGAGCGAAAGAGAGAGGACGAGACGAGAGAAGCTGAAGAGAGGAGCCAGACGAGAGGACGAGCGACGAGAGAGAGAGAGACGAGAGAGAGAGCAGACAGACGAGAGTGAGCGTCAGACGAGACGATGTGACGCAGACGAGAGAGGACGATACGGAGAGAGACAGAGAACAGACGAGCAGAGACGAGACTGAGAGGAAGACTGAGACGAACGAGGCGAGAGAGACAGAGAGAGAGAGACGGAGAAGAGACGAGACGAGAGAGGCAGACGAGAGAGAGAGAGAGAGAGATTCAGAGGAGTGACACAAGAGTAGACAGACGAAGGGAGGACCACGAAACTGGAGTAGAGACAGACAGAGAGATGCAGCCTTTACTGCTAGACAGATGAACCGACTGAGAAGGAGCAGGCGGATGAGTGAACAGAGAGAAAGACGACGAGGGACACCCAGACGAAGAAGAACAGCATGGAACAAGCAGACGAGCGAGCAGAGACAGACGAAGAAAAGCGAGGCGAGAGAAGAGAGATCGAGAGAGAGACAGAGAGAAGAAACTGGGCCACGGAGAGAAAAGGAGCAGAAAGGGAGGTTTACAAAAGAAGAGCAGAGAGGGAGAGTCCAAACGACCGAGACCTGGCAAGAAGAAAGAGGTAATTGAGACAGACTTTTTGAGAGCCCCCCACTGGAAGTCAACAGGGGAGCAAAAAAACAAAGGAAAACGCAAGGGGAAACCCCAACGAAAGGCAAAAGAAAGGGGCAAAGGGGGGGGGAGCCCAAAAGAAAAAAAGCCGGGAAGGAAAGGGAGAAAACCCAACAGGAAAGACCAAAACGAGACGGGGGGCAAAAGGGGGAAGGGAAAAACAAAAAAAAGAACAAAAACCCAAAACCCCAAACAAAAAAACCAAAAACCCAAAAAAAACAAAAAAAAAGAGACGGAGAGGAACAAGAGACGAGAAGAGAGAGACGAGAGGGGGGAGGGGGGGAGAGAGAGAGAGAGAGACGAGAGACGAGAGAGAGAGAGACGAGAGAGAGACGAGGGAGCTGTTTTTACCACACTTAAGATCCCAACAGAACGAGGTGAGGAGTCCACACGCACAACCTGGCTATGGGAAAGAGGTAATTGGCCAGCCCTTTGCTCTGAGCTCGCCACCACCGACTGGAATGCTCTTCTCCAGGGGGATGTTGACAACCAAGTGAAAGCCTTCACTGGACACATCCTTAATCTGCAACAAGAACACATTCCTCACCGGCAATATGTGACAAAGCCTACAGATCAGCCTTGGTTTGGCTTTCGTTGTAGAGAGGCTGCTACTGCTAAGTACAAAGCATGGCGAAGGTATAAGAGACATCCTACCACCTATAACAGGAACTTGCACATGCAAACCTGTAGGCATACGGGTGATGTTCAAAAGTGGGCCATTGCTAAATGGGAGGTGGACACAAAGAAAGTTAGCATCAGGTAGGGTAGGCTCCAAAACCTGGTGGTCCCTGGTCAAGGACAGACAAGGTTATCTGCCTGATGAACTTATTCCACCTCTAAATAGACAGGATGGGACCACCTCTACTAGTAGTCAAGAGAAGGCGGACCTCTTTGCTGAACACTTTGCTACCAAAATGCAAGTTCCTGATCCAGCAAGGGACCCTCCTTGGCTAGCTGCAAGAACTGTGTCAAAACTGTCAGTGGTGACAATAAGGCAGGAGGAGGTGCATTTCCTTCTTAAATCACTTGACCAAGAAAAGGCTGTGGGCCCAGACAAGTTGAGCCCAAGATGTTGAGAAGATGTGCAGACCAGCTAGCAGCACCTCTAACTCGCATCTTTCAGCACTGCCTAGTACAGTGTAAATGGCCCTCTCCATGGAAAGAGGCAAATGTAGTCCCTGTTCACAAAAAGAAGAGCAGAGCAGAAATCAGCAACTACAGACCAGTGTCACTCCTGTCAATCACTGGTAAGATCCTTGAGACAATAATCTCAAGACAAATGACAGATTTTTTTTGACTACCACTCACTACTTTGTGATCGTCAATATGGCTTCAGGAAAGGTTGCTCTGCTGCTGATCTGTTGTTAAACCTCTCCACTAAGTGGCACCAGTTACTGGATGAATCCAAAGTCAGCTGTGTGGTAGCACTGGACATTGCTGGCGCTTTCGACCGGGTGTGGCACCAGGGCCTTTTAGCAAAACTTCAAGCACTGGGAATTGCAGGCTTTACGCTATGTCTCCTCAGTGATTACCTTCATGGTAGATCTCTAAGTGTAGTCCTCAATGGAACGGAATCAGCAAGGCATCCTATTGGGGCAAGCGTTCCACAAGGAAGCGTGCTGGGTCCACTGTTATGGAATGTCTACTTCAACGACCTTCTTCATCTCATCCCAGAATCACATGCATATACAGACGACTGTACACTGACATTCACTTATCCAAGAGAAGAAATGCCAGCTGCTCTAAGCTACATCAATCACCAGCTGAAAGCTATATCAGCTTGGGGAAATAGATGGCAAGTAACATTTGCACCTGAGAAAACGCAAATGATGATCGTCTCTAGGCACCATGATGGTAATGCTGGTGCAGTAGTAAGGATGAATGGGAGGATGTTGGCACCTGGAGAAGAAGTTGATATCCTTGGGGTGAAATTTGACTCCAAACTAACCATGAAGAATCATGTTGTAAATCTTGCAAACAAGGCAGCCAGGAAGCTTACAGCACTTCGCCGTATCTCGCATCTGCTTGACAGTAGGGGTTGCAAGCTCCTGTACGAGGCACAAGTACGCTCACACCTTGAGTATGCTCCACTTTCTTGGTTTGCCTGCCCCCCCTCTCATCTGCGACTGCTTGACAGAGTAGAGTACAGAGCAAGACGTCTCATCTCTCGCCTGGACCCATCCTGGATAGATCTGTCATTTCAGCAGAGCCTTCAACATAGGAGGGATGTGGGTGGCCTTACTGTTATGTACAAGGCCAATATTGTCAAAATACCACTCTTAGATCCACTTCGAGGACAGCGTGAAACAAGCTTTTATGCCAGAAGACGGGCAGAAAGCAGCAACTTCACTCTGGCTTACCCTTCTCCAGAACATCACTCCATCTGAGATCATACATACCCAGGATAACTCGAGTATGGAACACATTCGTACAGCATAATGATGTCAACGAGATAAAGTCAGTTGAGCAAATGAAAATGCTGGCCCACAGATGGCTCCAACTTCATCCTGTCCCGTACTTGTATATCTCATAACAATAAAAATGCTTTCAAATGAGCTGATGTAGGTAACAGCTCTTAGCTTGCCAATAAAATTAGGAATCCTTAACCTGTAATATAGCTTTCAATAAAGCTAGGGATCCTTAACCTTGTCAAACCCTGTGTAAAAAAAAAAAAAAAAAAAAAAAAAAAAAAAAAAAAAAAAAAAAGAGAGACGAGAGAGAGACGAGAGAGAGACGAGAGAGAGACGAGAGAGACGAGAGAGACGAAAGAGAGAGAGACGAGAGAGAGAGAGACGAAAGAGAGAGAAACGAAAGAGAGACAAAAGAGAGAGAGACGAGAGAGACGAGACGAGAGAGACGAGACGAGAGAGGCGAGACGAGAGAGACGAGACGAGAGAGACGAGACGAGACGAGACGAGAGACGAGACGAGACGAGAGACGAGACGAGACGAGAAACGAGACGAGAGACGAGAGACGAGAGACGAGACGAGAGAGAGACGAGACGAGAGAGAGACGAGACGAGAGAGAGACGAGACGAGAGAGAGACGAGTCGAGAGAGAGACGAGACGAGACGAGAGACGAGACGAAGGAGACGAGAGAGAGAGACGAGACGAGAGACGAGACGAGACGAGAGACGAGACGGGGAGACGAGACGCGAGACAGAGACGAGACGAGACGAGAGACGAGACGAGAAGAGAGACGAGAGAGACGAGACGCGAGACGAGAGAGAGACGAGAGAGAGAGACAGAGAGAAGACGAGGAGAGACGAGAGACGAGGACGAGAGAGACAGAGAGAGACGAGACAGCGAGGACGAGAGACAAGACGAAGAGAGAGACGAGAGACGAAGAGACGAAGACGAGACGAGAGACGAGACGAGACGAGAGAGAGACGAGAGAGAGAGAGACGAAGAGAGAGAGACGGAGAGAGACGAGAAAACGAGACGAGAGACGAGACGAGAGACGAGAGACGAGAAGGGAAAAGAGAGACGGAGACGAGAGAGAGACGAGACGAGAGACGAGACGAGAGCGAGAGACGAGACGAGAGACGAGACGAGAGACGAGACGAGAGAGACGAGACGAGACGAGAGACGAGACGAGAGACGAGACGAGACGAGAGAGACGAGACGAGAGACGGAGAAGGACGAGAAAGAGACAGAGAGACGAGACGAGACGAGACGAGAGACGAGAAGAGAGACGAGGACAAGAGAGAGACGAGAGAGACGAGAGACGAGTCGGAGAGAGAGAGACGAGACGAGACGAGAGAGACGAGACGAGGAGAGGGGGACGAGAGAGAGAGGAGACGAGAAGAGAGAGACGAGAGAGAGAACGAGGAGAGAGAGAGACGAGAGAGACGAGAGAGAGGGGGACGAGAGAGACGAGAGAGACGAGAGAGACGAGAGAGACGGGAGAGACGGGAGACGGGAGACGAGAGAGACGGGAGACGAGAGAAGACGGGAGACGAGAGAGACGGGAGACGAGAGAGACGGGAGACGAGAGAGACGGGAGACGAGAGAGACGGGAGACGAGAGAGACGGGAGACGAGAGAGACGGGAGACGAGAGAGACGGGAGACGAGAGAGACGGGAGACGAGAGAGACGGGAGACGAGAGAGACGGGAGACGAGAGAGACGGGAGACGAGAGAGACGGGAGACGAGAGAGACGGGAGACGAGAGAGACGGGAGACGAGAGAGACGGGAGACGAGAGAGACGGGAGACGAGAGAGACGGAGACGAGAGAGACGGAGACGAGAGAGAGAGACGAGAGAGACGGAGACGAGGACGGAGAACGAGAGAAGAGACGAGAGAGACGAGGAGACGGAACGAGAGGAGACCGAAGAGAAAGACGAGGAAGAGACAGAGAGCGGGAGACGAGAGAGACGGGAGACGAGGGAGCGGGAGACGAGAGAGACGGGAGAGAGATGACAAAGAGAGAGAGAAAGAGACGACAAAGAGACAAAGAGAGACAAAAAAGAGAGACAAAAAAGAGACGAAAGAGGCGAGAGAGTACATACGTTACCAAGGAACCTCAAAGAGAAAACAGAGGTGAGAAGTGCACATAAGAGTGGGTGGCGGTGCTGAGTGAGTGTTCCTCGTCATGCGGGTCACTAACCTCCATCATTTAACCCAATCTCCGTCCATTTATATAAAAAAAATAACACCAAAAGTTGTATATTACTAATATAAACGTTTATATGGTAGTGGAATTGAAAGTGCTGATTGTTATACATATACGATTGGTATTATAAAGTATGATGCAGGGTTCTTATATGGCCCAGTGCCCAGCAGGTGGTACATAGGGGTGGGGTGGGTGCCTCAAGATGGGGCCACTAATACACGCGGGTGCCAGTCACTCTTGCACAAGCCAGTGCCACACGTCTCCATTTACCCCCTTTTCAGTGGTGGTGCTTCAGTGCTTCATAAATTCGAGGGTGGTGAGAGTGATCAGTGGCGTGTGCTAGTGTGTGATCACTATGGATGATAGAGATCTTATTTAAGGAAATGTGAGGACAATCTCTGGTGATACATTACCCTTGTTGATGGTGTTTTTGTGATTTCTTTCATGATGCATAACACACGTTGAGACTTATGACGCAGGATACATGGGGCTAACTTTTATAGCTTAGAATGCATACCGAAGCTAACTTTTACGACGCAGGATACAAAGGACTGCCATGTTATGTGTGGGTCCCCTAGGTGATACGCAATGTGCTTAAAATAGCATGTTAGGATGCATGAGTGACACCCAAGACTTGCATCGTTTAAATACAATCAACAGTGAGAGCAAATTTAAGCGTAGGATATACTGAACCATTAATCAGAAAATCTGCCTTTTATGTCCAAGTAGATATTTAATAGTTTACTTACAGCACACTATATCCTTGTTTAACTGTGTTTTTATTCACCTCAGTTTCTTAACGCTTCCATTTTTTTCAGATACTATTTTCTTTTTAAAGTAAAGAAAGTAAGAAGGGATGGGTAGGAAAATACTGATATACAGTTCAGGCTATATATTAAAGGACACGTTTTGCCACAAGTGACTTCCTCAGTCCTAATCCAGAGATAACTAAGAAAAGAGTATATATAGTGGCAGCAGTCAGGTAGTTAGAAGCTGCAAGGGTGATGGTGGCAGCAGCTGTGGTAGTGGCGGGTGGCGGGCGGCGGGCGGCGGGCGGCGGGCGGCGGGCGGCGGGCGGCGGGCGGCGGGCGGCGGGCGGCGGGCGGCGGCGGCGGCGGGCGGGCGGCGGCGATTGTACAACTGATGACACGCGTTGGGTTTGAGAGGGACCTGTCGGCATCACTTAGCGTGATACAAGCGAGAATTTGATCAACCGCTAATAAGCCTTTTTAGTGCATCAATCTAAACTGGTGTTGTGGAAGATGGCTTGAAATCAATAAGCCTGACATCAATAATAGGCAAATTGTTAGAGTCAGTTATAGCCGACATAATAAGAAGTCACCTTAATAAGCATAATTTGATTTATGAGTAAACATCGTCCCAAGATGTCGCTCCTGCCTGACAAATTTACTGACTTAATGAAACATTTGATGCATTGGGTCACGACAGTGTGATTATTCGGATTTCAGTAAGAATGCCACACAAAAGACTATGAAAAGTGGCAGCTCATGGAGGTGGGGGTGGGGGTATAGTTCTAACAAGGATAGAAATAGAAAATAGAGAGTTTGTATAAATGAGTTGAAATCTGAGTAAGGACCAGCCACAAGAGGCGCTAAAAAATAATCAGTTTTAGGCCCATTGTTAGTCATAATTTATATTAATGACCTTTACAAAAGAATAAGTGAC